ATACAGAAGATGTGGGGCAGTCCTTTCCCTGAGGCCCAGTGAGGAGCCACCTGCCATCCCCATCCAGTCTTGTGGCTTCCCTCCAGTTTTTTTGCCCTCTGTCTGCCCATCAAGGCCACTTAGTTCTTACGTAAACAGCACGTGGAAGGGGTAGTTCGTCGGAAGCGGCCTGCGTTTTTCCATGCACCAGAATGGAGGCGAGTCCTGTCTCCAGCCTGGCACCGAGATCCCAGGCACGCAGAAAACCTTTTTCCTCTTCAATGCTCTAAGCCCTACAGAAAAGGAACGGCCCCAAGAAATGGGGAGCATCATATGCTACGCAATACTCTGCTACTACTGACCCTACACAACTCAGCACCCACAAACATGGGCGGAACAGGGAAATGCAAAAGGCCAAATTCACATATCCACTCTAAAGATCCTTCTGCAGTCGGCAGGAGGGGGCTACCAGGTCTTGGGTTAAGTCAACTCTTATCTCATATTAGTTATCTCTGAGGAATAACAGGTAATAATCCCTGCATACTTTTATTTTTGATCTTTAGCTGGCACTTTGTGAGGCTGAACAAAGACACAGACGTGTTCAGGATTCTACCAAGGGTGCATCTGTCTCCGGATGAAAGGATCCTGACATCAAACTGACTGCAGCTGGGCTGGAAAAAGTTTTAAATCACTGCGATCAACACAAGTTTTGCACCAAAGTACAAATACACATACCGTGATTTCCTCTGGGTGACAGGCAAATCCTGTTATCCTACTTATGAATGGGCCTCATTAAGTAGAAAAAAAATGGTTCGTGCAACCTGTTCCTTTTTAAATTAAACATATTAAAGTTGATAGATACCCCTAATTCTCTGCTCAGCCTTTTATGCATTGCAATAACAGTGTTCCCATTGTTAGGGAAAGTCTTGAGTTTGCATAATCTGCTCTTCATTTCCCTGGCAGCTGCAGATCATTCTTGGTGACTAAATTAAAACCAGTTCCTTTCAAGAATCCACCAGATCTGTCCTCCTTTTTCCTCCCTGCACCTACAAGTTAAGAGGGAAATAACAAAACAAAACCTTACCAACAAGCATTAAATCCTATCGAATGAGGCTGGAAGGTCATCTCATCCATCCCTCTGCCCTGCGGCAAAAATCAACTCTTCTTAAGCTATCCCTGACAGACGCTCATCTAACGCTCAGAAACACCCACTGATGATTTCACAGCCCGTTCCACGGCTCACCTCATGCCTGTAAGTTTGACCTAAATGTCGCTTACCAGTCAAAGCACCTCACTGCTTGTCCTGTCCACACTGGGCTCGAGGAAGACTATTTCTCCTTGAAGAAGAGTATTTCTTCTCTCTTTGAAACAGCCCTTTACATGCATTTCAAGCTTTCCCATGCTTTTCACTCCTCTCTCATCGCTTACGAACATAATTGTCTACAGCTTTTCCGACACACAGCCCCGTTTCAGAGCCCAACACTCCTGAATCAAATCAAACTGCTCCTCAGCCCATTTCTGCTCCTGCGTTTATTCCTGTCGTAGAGGAGCGCAGAACGCAGGAGGTTGAGGTCTTCACCTCCCTGGATGGCCGTGGACAGGTAGGGAAGCGGCGCGGGACGACTTTCGGGCTGGCGTACCCCAGCTGCACCTGGTCGCCGATGCCAGAGCACACCCCGCTCCCAGGCGGGCGGCTGGGTGCTCACACAACGCACCCAGCTCCAGCCCAAGCACGCAAGCCTAGCAAAACCCACCGCGTGTGGACTCTGTGCCGTCTTATGGATGGAAGTAGTGAGGAGGCACAGGGAGCGAGCTATGCGAGTGGAGACACGGGGAAAGAGGAAAGATGAAGTTTAGTAGACGAAGGGGAAAGAACCCGAGATGATAAATCAAAAGGTGCAATGATCTGTTTTCCCCCACTTCCCCCTTGCTAGAGCTGACCTTGACTTAAAAAAACCCCTCCGATTTTCTGAAAGTCAGCAACAAGAAAAACAAGGCACAAAATCTCACAATCCGTTAGAGGCTTACAGCAGCATCTAGGAGTAGCATTTTACATGTCACGTAATACAGCACTAAGCCTAGGAGGCTTTGGGATTTCTGTAACTACGCTGACAGCCGTTTCCACAGGCACGGTTTTGCCAGCACCCAGCCCCGTGCACACAGGCTTCCCGGCGCTTCCAGACCAGCCAGGCTGCGCAGACCCACCTTTCGGGCCGCTCTCAGCACACGCAGCCAGTACTACGCAGTACCCAGCACAAGACAACCACCTGGGCCAGCCCGAGACGTAGTAACCGGAGGTTACTGTAGGTGCTCAGGTCGGAAAACGCCCCAGCTCACCAGGCAAGGCTCACCTTGGAGGGCAAGGCGCAGCTTGACTGGGGAAGCGGATTCCGCCGCGAAGGCACGGCCCTGCTGGGGATCTCATCTGGTGACCGAGCTGCACCGACGCGCTGTTCCGGTCTCAGCGGTTTTGCGTGATACCGGCTGCTTTTCCGGACGTAGGGAAGAACAGGCCTGACAAACAGGGTAGTAAATGCACGTTAAGGACGTTACTCCAGAACTCCCAGCTGTTGTACTTCCCCTGTGAGAATTTAAAGGTATCTTGTTAAAGATGTAACACCGTGTCAGCACGAGCAGTTTCCCCATTTTCCCTTCGAAAGACCCAATCCTACAGAGCTTTATTAATACAGGCTGAAATGGCAAGATTTAAAGGCTAAGTAAATCCCACTTAAAACTTCCACAACGGGGATTAAATGGAACTTACCCGCTTCTGCAGGAGGGGCACGCCTCACGTATGTGCCTTTGGGGTTTAAGCTGCAGAGGCTGGCCGGAGCGGAGCGACGGCGTAGGCAGCCGCCGCGCCGCGCTCTCGCCAGGTTGCGACTCGGCATGCTTGAGCACGGGCAAGAACATCTCTTCTAGGCGTTGCCTTTACTTGCAATTTATAACCGCTAAAAATCACACGAAATGTAACTAAAACGCCTTTCCAAGGGAGACCAAAACTAACTTTACACGTTTCCATATACAGAGAAATAACCCACGGAATAAAAACGAACCGGCCCACAACGCTGCGCCAAGCTGAAGATGGGAAGAGAGCCTCCGGCTACAGAGAGCCGACGGTGCCTCGGCGCAAGTGAAACCCAAACGTTCAAACATACCAACCCAGAGCTTGTGAAATTTTCCGTATGACATCTGAAAATTAAAAGTTAGACTGTTCTATTCTGTATATGGCTAAAGAGGAATAAAACTTGTATGTACTGTCATTAGCCTACGTATAAGAAAAGATATATAGAGAGACAAAAAGATTTACTTCTTTAGATAAAAAGGATCTATATATGAGTATACCGAAATTACCCGATTGAAACGAAATTCCTATGCGTTTGATTTCACCCGCCTGTAACAAAATGCTGAATGGAAGAACACAGAATACAAAAGACAAATTAAAGAATTTTCTATTTCACAGAAAGGACAAAGTCATTAAATAGGTTCATTTTTACATTTATTTGACGAAACAGTGTACATAGTGTTGATCTTTCCAGAATAATAATCATGTACACACACAGCGAAATGGTTTTGAGACCAGAAGTTAGATACACAGTGTGTGACAGCGTTGCATAAACAGTTCTTCCACAGAATGCTTCTATTTCCAGTATTAAAACACATAAAATAGACAGTGACTTTTTTATTTATTGTGGCGAGGTAAACATTTCTTCCTTCAAAGCAGCGTGCTTCTATGCACCTTCACGAGAACTGCTAACGATACCCTTCTCCTTCATTCAGTCAATAAGTACATACCCAGTGGCATATTTATTGCTATTCTAACAGTCATACATTTTTTTCCTTGAGCATTATGTAGAGAAAGGAATGGAGAAGAAAAAATCTACAGTAACTGATGATAGCAACCTATCTGTATTATTAGTGTCAAGAACCAGAGTTTAGTGCAGATAATTTATTTTGAATGTAACAGTTTTAATGGAAATGTCACGAAAAATTTATTTACATTTTTCTAAATAGAACATGGTATTGATTAGAGATGCTCAAAAATCACAATTAAGAATTGATCCAACAAATTTTTACCTCTCTGCCCATTTACAAGACCAAATCATAATAACTACTCATTTGTTCACTGTTCAAATTTATTGATGATTTTCAGCATATCATTTCTGGGCTGAGTGAGGTTTGTACTGAGATTTTTAGTTACACAAGCCATTTGGTATTGTCTTCTGTTCCCTGAATGAATGATCTGTGTAACTAACAGCTCGAATTTTGACTGTTACAAAAGCATCTATAATCAAAATAAATCTCAGTCAACATCTGAGTTCTGAAACTTACTTTTTTTTTTCTTGTACATATTTTTACTGATGTCTGAGAAATCAAATACTTCGATTGATCAAACACACAAAAAGTTCATTTGTGTTTTATTCCCAATAAATCAGAAGTGGGTTTTGGAAGATAAGTCAATTGAAGAATACTCCATGCTCCTGACAGAGTAGTGCTTCAGGTTCTCGTCTTGTTTTAAAACCTCACAGCAGTGACATACTTATGAAAGAGGTTCTTTTAAGAAGTTAGCAGCCATTTTCTTACTGGCAGACACATCCTCCTAGAGCCCTCTGTACGGCACTGTTACACCTAGAAATACTGCACTTCATTTCCAAAAACTAGAAAATAAAATTAATCACATTTTGCTGGCTTATAAACGCAGCATAAGAATGGAAGGTCCTTACACTACCAACCAGTCCCTTTTCCTATTGTGAGGTATACTTTGGCATCTACAGAATAAAATAATCTTAAGGCAAAACGTGTGATTTCTAAAAAAGAAAATGAACATTATTCATTTGAATAAAAATAGATATTGTAAGCACAATTTTGTACATTATTGAAAAAGTCCATAAAAATATAAACCCATTATTAGTTTGCCGACTCTTTACAATATAAAAAAAATGAAAGAAAATACTGTGAAATAGGTGAACTACACGTGTTTGATTAAAGAATAATCCTGTTGATAGAAGTCAATTATTACCTATTGTATCTTATCATGATTTTATCAGTGATGATTTTGAAAGGAAAGCAGAAAAAGAGCTTTATGAAGTATTACAATTCTGAGTAACAAAATTACCAAAATTAGATGAAGACAGACAAGCTTTTCAAGAAAGTAGCCGCAAAATTTCTGAAGCCTAGCTTGCGAGCCTATGGCCTGAGTTTGCCATGTATCACAAATTAAGTCCACCAGCACTGATGACTCCTTAGAAAAACTCCACTAATCCTCTCCGAAACAACAACAGGAATGATGTCTTGTGAAACACACACATTTTCCATGAGAATAATCTTCAAGTTGTTATTTTTTGGCCACACAAGCCACCGCCTTCTTTGCTGCATCTTCAAGGTCATTTGCAGACGTGATGGGGAGTCCACTTTCATTCAGGATGCGCTGGGCTTCATGAACATTCGTTCCTAAAAAAGAACACTGACTATAATTAGTAATTAATATTAATAAATAAATGAGCATCTTCTGTTAAATCTTTATAGAAGCAGCTAGTGCTTCAAACTATACATCATTTCAGTTTAACAACAGATTCAGTGAGTGGTTTGGCTTGAGCTGAAAAGAAGGAACTCTTCATTCCAGGGACAATTTTGACAGACAATGCAATCTGACAATAGCACTTGCATCCACAAGAGGGGCTTTGTGAAGATTAGAGGGTCAATCCAACGTCCACCAGAGTCAGTAGGGCCATCCAGCAAGAACAGTGGATAACGGACCACGTATCAGGCCTTCAAAACCCTCGGAGGATTTAACACATTTATTACCAACAATCAGCTACAGCTAATCAGCAGCCAGTGAATCAACAGTCACTAAAATTCACCCGCGTTAACAGAAACCTGCAAAATGGGCTATTGAAAGACAAAGATTTGGGTAATCCTGAAAATCTAACCGGTTTTGAGCTGCTCTTGAAGACGCTTTTTTGCATTTCTGCTAAAAAAGGGGAACATCGAGAGCTCTGAAGCATTCAGCATGACACCGTTCCCTCCTCTGCTGCTGCACTAAATTATCCCACATCCAAGGAGACTGTACAGCTATAGAGTACAAGAGCTCCACTTTGCATGTAAAAAGCTCAAATTCAGTCAGACTACATGCATAGTAAAGGAAAAAAAATCCAAAATTAAAAAAGATATTTCAGGACAGTATGTTTTCCCCACGTTCACACTTGTTTAAGAGACAAGTGCATTGCCTTCGCATTCACTCTAGCTCATTCTTTTTGGAAAACAATCAGAAAATCTGAATTCTCCAGAGCTTCCTCCAGCAAAGCCACGCAACAGGTTTGATCACTGATACGCTCTGCACCGCAGAAGAACTTGGAGTCAGATATCCGACGGAGGAAGTGGAATCCACACTTCGGGATCACGCACTAGCCACAAGCACGAGACCCCGAGCTGATCCTCTTTAGGATCATTTCTACCCTCCGTCCTCCACATCAAGTTCCTCGTTCATTTGCCACGTCAAAATGTTTGATTACTTTGTAATTTCTAGACCTAGCAACATGAATTTTAATTATATTTGGAGCTATACACTAATTATACCCTTAATTATTAACCGAGCAAGAAGCGTACTCTTTACGGTCCAACCTCCAGAATGCTCATTTTAAAGAGTGGTTTTGGTTTCTTTGGCAGACTTTATAAAACGTCTGAAATGGTACAGCAGAAGTAGAGAAATTCAAAAGCCTGTTTCTTCAGCGTGCTCAAGTCAGGACTCCCGCTCCCAGCACTGAACGAGACCAAAGACGTCTCCGTCGCAGCGGGCCCAGCACTCTGCCACGGGAGAGGCAGGTGTCTGGAAGAGGGACCTGGGACCCCATCTGCGAGCTGTTCAAAAGCACCGGCAGAAGAGTTCACGCTTCCCATCGATATGCAGAGGACACACTGTAGGACTTGTGTAGGAAGGTCAAAGACATCTGAAATATCTGACAGAAGAGGGATTTGGTTGCATAGTAACATCCAGAACCGTACAGGACTTTTCCTACAGAAGAAAAGAACGTTATGGGCAAAAAAGAGCATAATGTGCCATTTTTGTCAACCGTCCTATATAACGTAATGTGGAAGCTGCTACTTGCCAGCACAGACCTGTACAGGGAGGTCAGAAGGCATTACGAAGGTTCTCTACTCTGCTAAGTTCCTCATATTTGTATAGCGATTCCCATCAAGTCTTCAAAGTTTTATCTATTATTTAGCTACAGGTGTGACGAGCATTTAAAACAGTCGAGATTGTACTGATCTCTCAAATAGGATTCTAGAAGACAAAGTGTTGTGAGGAGAAAAAAATAGAAAGAGTGAAAATTTTTCCTGGAAATTTTCCCACAGAGAAAAATATTATGCAGTTTGTGACAGCCACATAGTATTTAAAACTAACTTTTGCTCTTCACTAAGTGGCCAATATTAATTTACTAACAGGTCAGTGTGGGAACAATACGTTGGATCTATTCTGCACTGCATTGATTGCTCTACACACCGCTTGTCTAACATGCATTACAAAATCAATACAAAACACAGTCCACTGAGAAGGGAGGGGGGAGTTTATGCAGACAAATGAAAATATGAAAGCTGAAAAAAATCCCACTGCAGTCAAAAGAGTAAGGGTACACTCTGTATTTATTAAATAAAATACCGTTTTAGAGGCAGGCCATGCAACTAAACTTATTTTTCAGCAAGGATTTCCTTTGCTGTAATGTTCTTTTCTTTTTTTTTTTAATGATAGCTTTTTATCCCGTTGTGATAAGTATTTTAGAGATATGGAGAATATGGAAATTATAATGAGATCCTGCTGAAAGCAGAGGTAAGAGTTTTAAAATTAAACATTCCAAAAACACTGGAAACATTTAAGAATCTAGAAAGGGTATCATCTTATTGCAGTAGATGATAAAACAAACAAATAAATAGTTCCACTATTCTAACATTAACCTCCTGCCACTGGATGGTGTCAGAGAACTGTAAACAGAATCCCATACACAGGCTATCAAAATAACCTGCCCTTCACCTACACTGTAGCCAACTGAGAAATGGTGAAAATTCACAGGAATGAAGGCTACGGGCACTTTATTTATTTATTTTTCCCCACTGGACTCTATTAAGGGAATCTTTTTCTAATGAGAAAAAGAGTTTTTTTCCTTCCAATACATATTACTGTCAATGACACTCCATGGAAAAATAGGAAAGATGTAATTTCATCAGCATATATTTTCAGGCTTTTTAATCTAAATATCCTCCTTCTGAAACAACCCCTCTGTCTATGTACATGCAACCGCTCACATTTACCCTTTTATTGCTCTGAAATCTCTGCTTTCACTAGCAAAGTAAATCTATTCAACTCATTACCTAAAAATCCTAGTAATAAATATTCTCTCTAAGCATGTTTCTATAAATTGGAAGATTATACTAGCACCCATTGTTACAAATGAGTCAAGAGGACTGCATAGGCAGACTGAAAACAAACAAATAAAACACCCCCAACCGTACTCCAACAGGATTTCGATAATGTTCGTTTATTCACTTGCGCTGTCATAAAACCATTAGGAACTGCCTAAATTGCCACTGTTTAATGCTACTGGCTGGAAAGGATGCAAGACTCTGCAATGCCACTTCTAGCTTTTCAGGTAAATAAGATATAAGGGAAGAAGACATAGTTATATACACTTGGTATATCCTAAGAAATAGAAGACTAATGTAAAAAAAAAAAAATCTGATCTACCCAAAACATTCTGCAGATGAAATATTTCACAATATGCAGTAGGTCTGAAAATACTATTGATGTAACTCATCGCGGCCATGTTACATTATCGATAGCAATGGTTCAGCTTTGATACTCCTACACGGCTGAGCGCATTAACAGCCAAATTTCCCCCTCCCCGGCATGGATGCAGGTTATGTCACTTCTGCTAGCCCACAAGCTGGAAACTCACAGCCTCTCAGGTCACAAAGACAGAGGTAGGGGAGAATAAGGGACAAGGGTTGAAGCTCATCACTAGCTAACCTTCAGTCAACATTTGATTTGAGGTTTGGCTAGTCATAAGGTTTAATTAATGACCTTTGGCTGGGGAACCTATGAAGTTTTGGTGGTTTACACTTCTCGCAGCTGTCGGTTCTGCAGTCAAGAATAAACCAATTTTCACCGTCTACTTATAAGAGACAATTAAACCCTTTCAATTTTGTCCACACCATTTGCCCTTTTCTATGCTAAACTCTTCCCAAAGAATATTTTAATCTTTTCCTCTGCCCCATGTTTATGTCCGAACTGGGAAAGACTCAAGCACATTTAAATTTGTGCCAAATGTTTAAACCCAAGATGCCTGAAGAGACTGATATGAATGAAGTTCTAAATGTGACTTCGCAATACCCCGTTATTCTCTCTTGATAGGCAATTTGGGATACTAAAAATCACAGGCATACATACTACACCATATTTTTGAGCAAGATACACAAATTGGAGCAAAATTTCACTTGTGTGTAAAAGATTCCTGAATATATTAAAAAAATCATTAGATTCTAAAGAACACAGAAAGTCTTGAATCACATGGCTGAAAATATAATAGGAAATTTTGGATTCAGACATTCAAATAAAAGCCAATTTACTTCCAGCTGTGTTTCAATATATTAAGTAGTTCTAATTCCTCCCAATTCTTCTTGTCCTGTGACCACAGAAGCAGAGAATTCATTTGTGGAAAGACAAAGAATGTGAAATTTCCAACATAGGAAGCGGACATCTAATTCACAGTTCTTTTTTATTCTTTCCTCTTTTCATCCAACTCTGAGCTACATAAATGAGAAACAAGGTTTGGTTTCCATTCAGCACTCCTAGTTAGTTTTCACAAAACGCAACTGAAGTACATTAAAGGGGAAAAAACGCTGCATAAAACCAGCAGAAGTTAGTTTTCTACTTTTGGAGAAGATAAAATTTGGAATATGTAGTTTCTCCATTTGTCCGTGAGCCTTTCAAACAACAATAATCCTGCATCTCAGCTGGTGAGTTCTTTACTGATAAGGCAAGTAAATACATGTAATTATAAAGTTACCATTTTCAAAAAGGAGAGTAATCCTTTCTTTATCCACTGGCAAAACAGCTTGTAATTATTACACAACTGAGAACAAAGATTCGTCCACAGAATCCTGCTAAATCAAGACAGATTTGACTGATTAAAACTCTAGTCATCAAGACACTTGTAATACAGTGCATGCAGGCAAAGAGTCTTTAAAGTGCAGGTCACAAATCTGTTAGATTTATGGGAATAATCATGAATCTTTCGTTGGAAAAATGTTCAAAATGGAAATCCAAAAAAGTACTTGTCCCTTTTTCTCCTTTTGAAGTGTAAAATGTTATCAGTGATGTTTTAAAAAGTCTTGGGCAGCCTTACTACTCCCACACGACTCATTAATAATTCAAAATCCTTATATGTTTAGATAACCCGGTGTGAGTTCAAAGAACAACAACGAAGATGACTAAGGATCCAAAGGGACTGATTTCTGAGGAAAGATTAAAAGAACCAAATATATATATATATATTTTGCTTGGTTGGGTAATTAAGGAGGCAGAGAAGGCAGGAGCTACAAGCTAACAGTTTCTAAGTACAACATCTGAAGGCTGCTGTACATCATAACTCTTCATTTAGGATGAATTAGTGGGTAACGCTAAGAATAAGAGTAGAAATTAGAAAACTTTTGAGGTAAATATTAGAGCAAACTCTTACTTTTGCATATTATACCAGGACAGAGTTTCCCAAGGAAAATGCAGTATTGCCATCTCTGGATTCAACAACTAGTCTAGAAGCATTATTACAAACCTAATAAAGAGCGAGGAATCACAGGAAGATGATCGATAAAAGATCTTTGCAGTAAAATCTGTGTTCAATGTCCCGCAGATTCAGCTTCAGCCTCCGTGAATGAAGCAGCACACGACCCTCAAAGGCTGCAGGCACAGGAGTGAGGCACCACGCGGCCACCTCTGCAGCGCTTTGTGCAACCCCCAGGCAGAAGCACCCCGCTCCACTCCACCTCTTCCAGACACACTCCGCCATGCAGTAGCGCCGGGCCTCTCCTCATTCAGCCCAGCGACTGCTTTGCCTCTTGCAATGTCCCAGAAGTCACGTTACAGAAAAAATTCACCCTTACTTGCGTACGACCATGGAAGTATTGAAAGTACTGGAGAAAGGTCAAGCAAACGCAGCGGCAGACCTCGCAGACTTGCAGTTTAAAACAAGCAAGTTGATTTTCTTGCTTCTCTTATACCGGTTTCAAATATTGCAATAGAAACAACTTGCAACTATCTTGTTCATAAGGAAAACTAATGTTTTTTCCAATATCTTCACTTAAAAAGTAAGAGCTACATTAGATGAGGGGTCTTGCAGATCTGGCAGATAAACTTTTTCCCAGCTATGACAGACAGGAAAAGCTTTTTTTGCTCTGACAAAAAGCTAAACATTGCCTAGAGCTGCTGAACAATGAGATTTTATATTATGAAACTTTCCTGTTTCTAACCAACATTCATCAGTCTCTCCTTCATCCATATTAAACTATCTACTTAGTCTCTTAAGGTGTTTAAAGAAAATTTTCACAATTTATTTCTAAAACCCATTTTAGAGTATTTATATTTTCCTGCACTTGCCACAGCAAAAGTCCACCCATGTTAAACCACGAATGCACTCTTTTAAGCGTTTGAACCACAGCAGCACTTTTAAAGGACAAAATTGCACGTCACAGGCTGTGGTCTCCCCTGAAGTGAACTACGTATCACGTGTAACGTCGCGTGAGGGATGGGAAAACCCTGCTTTCTGATGAAAGGCAAAACAAGCATCCCCCTAATCAAAGGGCTTCATGAGTAATCTGCATCTTCAAGACTCCTGGTGACTTTATTTCTTGAAAAGGAAAAAGTCTGGTGTATTTGGAACTTTTTTCCTCTCCTTCCTCTATCATAGTACTAAAAAAACACCTCCTTATTTTATATCTCAGGTACACAACAAGATGCATTTCCTCCTTTCACCACCAATGCTGAGCAATAGGACATTTTCTGCTCTTTGCACACACCCAAAAAGGAATATTGATGTTTTTGAGGAACAGACTGTTAAAAAAAAAAAACCCACCACCAAAACAAACCAGAAAAACCTCTATTTTCCAAACCTACTTAAGAAAAAAGAAATGTTTTAAGTTTACCAGAGTTGTGCTGATTTCAACAAAAGCACTTTTTCATTCAATGGCAAAAGAAGAATCTCCCTTCCTTCTTCAGAGCTGACAGATAGAACTCCATACACACTGCCATCATATTAAAGCCAGTAACTGCTAAGGAGTGGTGCTCTTCCTCACCTCTCTATTTTGTTTCCAATTGAGCAATGCTGGATGTACTTAAAAAACCCAAATTTCCTTACATTGCCAAATCTTCTGTTTTTTAATGGATTTTACCTGGGCTGGATATTTGGGCAGAAGAACATGTTATAGTAATCTCTCTCTCACACGGTTTTTAACATCTTTCTTCTAATTATGATATTGGAGTAAATTTAAGAAAACTGTATGTTGCTGCAGGTTTAGCAATAATGGAATTGCATTCAGTAAAGAAGAAAAAAATCATTTGAAAGAGAAATACCTTCCAGTAAACAGAAACTTGCATAAAAATCATTTCTATTTGCATTGCAAATCTTACAAGCAAAGCCATAATGCTTTCATTGCAAAACTTCATTGCTTCAAGTACCACCAGGGACGTGGGGTACAGAAGTATGTAAGGAAAGAGTTTATTGACTTCAAGTCATGCTACGGATGAAGAATTTGACATATTCTTATTGTGTGGGACTAATCTGTCAGCGCTTAGAGATCGAAGAAAGCCGAAGTGGATTACTGTGCACCCGAGGGATGATTTTTGTCTGAACCATCAGCACTCACCTTCCAGTCTGACCACCAGAGGCACTTTCAGCTCAAGCTCTCGGCAGGCTTTGGTAATACCATTGGCTATAATGGCACAGTTCACGATCCCACCAAAAATGTTTACAAGTATTGCTTCAACCTGTAGGAAAGAAATGGAAGAGGAAACAGGTAGGGTTTTTTGTGTTTTGTTTTGGCTTTGTTTTCTAAATAAACACAGGTAAAAGATCCAAACCAGGGTACAAATTCCCTTCTGTCAGGTAGGTTCTCATTTATGGAAGGTACAAGCTTCACCTCTGTACTCGGAGAATTTGATTCTGAGTCTATTGTTTTTGTTAGTCTGCAGCTGCCATTAATTGCCTTGGTCTAAATTGGCATCACAATTAATGTCATTAAAAACTTACTACGCAGAAAAGGGGAATTTCTCCTGATAAGTATAAATAAAAAAGAGATTAAACAATCTATATGTTGATTTTTTTTTAAATTTATTGAATAAAATCATCAGAGATTGGAGTTCAGAAAACACAGTGTATAAATGTACATATGCACATGCAATGAGATACTCACACGAACACTTGAAAAAACAATCTGGACATGCACTTTATCATAAGCAGTACAGAGGAAAAGGTAATATACTTGCCCCGACTTGATAAAGAGGAGTAAAAATCCCTTCTAATTAACAAGGAGAGGCATGTAATGAAGAGCATTCATTACAACAGATTAACTGATAACCTCGAAAACCTGTTATTCATCAGTTTCTGGAAACTGAAATTCCTGTGCCTGATTCACAATTAAATTACCCTTCACAACATAGAAGACATTAATACATAAAGGAAATTAATATGGTTTCTTTCCACTTGGCAAGGTAGTATAATATCGAACCCAAGTTCATACACCAACCTTCCCACCATGGCTTATTAAGACAAGGGGGACCCCATACAGATGCAGCTATGCTGTTTCTCATTCCATAGTGGGGCTAATCCACAACATTTGGGGTACTCTGCAGTAAGCTTCACTGGGTGTCACAAACAAGCTTTGCCAGAATCACGATGACTCAAAAGAAGGCAAGATAGAGGGGATTGAGCTTGAAGGAATGAAATATCACTGGATTTCACTTGTGCATGATGTCAACCACAATTATGCTTAAGTCATTGCCCAAGATGAACAGATTCACTTTGCCCACTTCCAGGTACCCAGACTCATACCAGCACCAAGAAAATACCCTGCAGTCACGCACGTTTATAGCTCTGCACAACCAGGTTTAATATTTCTCTGCAGGCAAAACATGACAATTGACTCCGGTGACGTGCAGTCACACACAGATTGGAAGCTCACCACTGTTAGTAACACTGCCATCCGCAACGCAGCAATAAAAAGAAAACAATCTCAACACATACTTTGCTTCTCACATGAAAGCAGCTCACCAATATCCTTCAGCAGTATCCTAGACTGCAAAAGCATCCCCTACTGTAAACATATGCTGCGTTTACATCGCAGTATAGAACTTCAGTACTAGCAGAACAGTCAGAAAACGGCGATAGCAATGGGACTCCTCCTTGACACCTCTCTCATCACCTGCTGCTGCTCCCAGCTCCAAGACTTCTCGTGATGCCACCCCAAAGTGGCCAGAACAGTTCCCATCTGACCATACAGGACATGGCCCCATTTTCTCCTCTCAAGCTTGTTAGACACCAACTCTTTCACCTGCTCTCGCAGTGCTGATGTGCTAGGAAGCTGCCTGCGCCTGCCCCTTGTCTCCTCTCACTATCTGCAGCGGAGTCATCCAGTCAAGATTTGCTCATTCTGCTGAGTGTCCCGATATATAAACAGAATTCTTGTGTGCATTTTCAAAGCACAAAATGTCTCTACAGGTATATAAATAAAGCAAAAATTAATAAAAACCTCCCTTTAAAAGAACCAATATCCAAATTTCTCCCTCTGAAATCAGGTACCATGGTTCAGCACACAAGACACCAGTTACTCCAGTTCATACAGCCTGCGTATGGCTCATGATATGGCTTCCTCACCACAGGCAGAGCACACTAGGTATACCAGAAGGAAATTAATAATCCAGTCGAATCAAGACATACAATTTAATTGATTTCCTAACTCTTTCTTACACTTTAGACAATGGACCAACACTCTAATGACATGCTAGATGTATGCTTTTACCAGTCTAGGTTTTTCTGGATATTAAGTTGGTGATGCCATTGCAATTACTTATTTAACCTTTGCGTTGTTACAAAAATCTTTAAGTCTGTAGATGCTACCAACAGTAAAACCTTTGAAGGATCCTTCTGTATCTTGCTCCTTGCTGCTTGTGCACAGGTAAACGCTCTTGGTGTTAGGAGGTAAAAACACATAAAGTAAAAATAGAGCCCTTATCACAGTAACCCTTATGGTAAGCAGTTATCTATGCAAAGCACTTTGATGTTAAAATATACTAGTGACATATTCTATCAGCAGGACAAACACAGACACTGTTCCGCCCTTTCTAATAACATGCTCCTAATTCAGGGACGTTGCACCAGGCATGTGACAGATCAACTTAACCAAGGGTATTTACATTATTAGAGATAAAGAGGAGGATTTTATGTCCGGTACAGGTATTTTAATTCCTAATGCAGACATTCTCATTTAAGGATCTGCTTTTCAGCTTTCAAGCTGAATTCTAATCAGGACTTCTAATCCATTGGCAGAAAAAGGAAAAAAAAAATGTTGAAGGAAATTAGATGCAGCTTGGATAATTGATGTTTGTATGCTTGGCTTTAATAAAAATACACTGTTAAATTAGAGAGGAGTCTAAAAGGATTCAATCAATAAGCAACCGAATCAGGTAGAGAATTCAATCTTGGGTTTTATTGTTATCTTCCAAATAAGCCAAAAGATCAGTCCAAACGATGCTGAGATTCACTTAAACTCTGCTGAAATTTGTGAACATTGTTTATATATGCTTCTGTAGCCTGACTAGATCTTGCATTTCCAGCTGAAAGAACTTAAATGTTCAGGCCCAGTAGATGGATGAAAAGGTTTTCAGTATTTCATGTGCACAGAGAAGGCACAATCTCTGTATTATTTAAGTCTATAAAAAAAGATAAACCTCCCATTGTATAACAGAACCACTACATATTAACATGCTCAGCATCTAACACATATGGAACATTAGACATAAGAAGAGGGCAAACTGCCTATACATACATAGATATATACATGCATACAAGACAGGTTACTTGATAGCATTATTATTAAAATTATCATTTTTACTCAACAGCATACCTCATAAAATACTTTGTATTTCAGCAACACTATTAAAGACACTGAAGATAGCAGGTTAGGCTTTTCCCATCCACCAAAACAACTGACAGATGTGGAATCACCAGCAAACGTACCCGCAACTGATTAGGGACTCCTCTGGAGAAACGGGGGAACCCCCAATAGCACGGAGGCATCGCCATCGGTGGTGGCAACAACCCGCGGTCCGCCGGGCCTAAGCACCAACGCTGGGGAGCAGAAGGGACAGAAACGGAGTGCTGCGCGATCACTGTCTTCATGCTGGATATGGGGCTGAATCTTTGCAAATGCTTCAATACCCATTAATCCCACAGCTCCTAAATGGACACATATGCAGACACACAGCTAGCCTCTCCTCTCTTTATATAAGAAATCAGATGTATTTACCTATAGCTGTATCTATATAAAATCTATGCTGCTTTATTAATAAAACTAACAGTTTTAATTTACAGTGACGACTTCTTAAAGCGAGCCTTGAAAAAGCCTGCAATTCTGCTTTGAATGTTTGGCACCAAA